TCCATAGTAGATAAGCTTCCAGTTGTTAATTACTGCATGCATTTATATGCATGGTTTAGAAATTTGAAGTATATTATGAGGTGTTACTTGTACTGAGGTTGCTTGTTTTTATGAACCAGGGACATTATAGGTTGAATTTGTGGATGGTAAGCTGATTATTTTTATCTGTTCCCCTCTAGGGAGGGTGATATTCAAGCAAGAAGGTATGCTATACACAGCCATGACTGAAATGAGATGGCAGTGTAATTAGCTGATATAATAGAAAGTAAAACTGAGTCCATTTGCCCTTCAGTTGTAGCAAAGAGGTGTAAATTCTAATAAAGATATCTTTAACTAGATGTGAACAAAGATGACAACAATAATATAATATATAGAACAGTGTAGTTTCCTAATTGAAGTGTTAAAATAAAAGATTCTGCAAGTAGAAATGAGTCTATGTTGAAGAACTCAGAAAATAATTGTTACCTCTGACAGTTTATGGACTGGGAAAGGGCACAAATAACTTTACTGAGGAGCTAGAGACATTCTGTATCTTTACCTGGGGTATTGGTTGCAGAGGTGTATACATATGTATAAAATCATTGAGCTGTAACAAGATTTGTGCTGTTTACGGAGTGTATCTTATACGTCAATAAAAAAAATTTTTTTTAAGGTTTTATTGCTGTTTTTGTCAGGGAAAAACAAAACAAAAAAAGAAACCCAGTAAGGCCGAAGTATGTAGAATTCGGGAACTTTTGTAAAACTGCAATTCATACTCCTTGCTTCTGTGAAGCCAATGATTTGTAGTATGTTGATTAAGTTACTGGATTTTAAATACTTTGTAATGTTCCCTTGCTTTGTTCAGATGAATTCATATAAAATATAACCTGTCTGTACCATAATTTAAAAAAATCAATATCCTAATATAAAGGAGAATAAAAGGAAAGTAAACTGCAGTAAGATATCTATTTCAGTTTGCAGATGAGCAGGTACAACAGCACCATAAATCATAAGATCAGGTGTTTGCATCTATCTGTAAATATAACCAACTGTATAATTTAAAAAGTATATCTGCTACCAGTACAGATGTGTGCATTGGTGAGTAATGCTGTGTTGCCATCAGTGTTGTGATTTCTTCCCCAAGTTGTGGACAGCTGTTGGTAAAGTTCTGAACAAAACGCACAATAATCAAGAACTGTGGGTTGGGAAAGATTTTTAAAAGGCACTCATAAAGCATTATCTTTCAAAGCCAGTGCTTTTGCCAGACCAAACTAATATCTATATTAAATTTCACTTTGCTAAATCCTCTCTTTTGGTCTTTAGAAATTCTTTTGACTCCTGATTTTCTCTTCTAGGTATTAGCTATGGCTTCCAGCTTTGTGCCATCTGGAAAGATACACCTTCTCAATTATTTAAATGGCTGTCCTTTTTTCTTATTTTAAAAGTGCAGCCTACAGAAACTGTTAGAATACCAGTACTAATCAATAGAAATATCCTTTGCATCATAGAAATGAGAATTGTATGATTATAGTTTAATAACTTACAAAATTGTATAATTGTGCTATTACAGAACACTCCTTTTTCTTGAGCTGTTCTCTTCCATCATCTGCTGTTTACATTAATTCAGTGCCTGACTTATTAGCAGAACGTTAGTCCTGTCTTGTCCAATACAGTAGTGACTAGCTATGTTTGGCTGTGGAGCTGTTGAAATGTGTCTTGTGTTACTGAGGAGCTGAATTAAAATGTCAGTTGTTGGACAATTTTTATGTATGTTTCGAACAACTTGGATGTGTGAATCCACTGTAAATTTTATGAAATATAAGTACAGATAAAACATTTCCAAGGAAAATTACCATCTGAATTGAGACGTGCCATAAGTGTAATGTGCACTGGATTTAAAGACTTAGTATGAAAAAAAGATTTTTTTAAAAGGTCATTAATTTTATTTTGATTACACATTGCAATGATTTCAGCTGTTTCTTTATGCCTTGTTAATGTAGATATTAGGGGAAAAAAGTTTTTTTTAACAGGGATTTGAACCCTGGACCTAGAAATTTTTAAATTACATATGTGACTCGAATTATATTTCTGTTGGACTGTGCTGTGCTAGACCCTGAAAAAAACAGATTTGTCTAAAACATGATCTCTTCCCTTAGGATCTAGTTCCTGGATGGTAAATGTTTCAAATGTGGGACAACACATAGTGTGTGGCTGTTTATACCTCTGTGGTAACCACTCCTGGTTTTCAATTAAGATATTATAATCCAGTCATATCCTCTGGGTAAATGAAGGGGTAATTGGAAGTATGTATTTGCCTTGCCTGAGCTAGTACAACCTGTATTCTACCTCTGTCATTGCTGAAGCTGTTCTTAAGGGAAAACCTTGTTTCCCAAGTTCAGACTTCTCCTCTCAGTCTTTGGTAGAGCAGAATGCTTGCTTGTATAACTACTGGACACACATCCTTAATTATTTCTTTTGGATAATTCACTAGAGGAGAATTTTTTGGATCAGAAAGTACTGCCATTTTTAAAGCTCCGATATTTGTTGCCAACTGACCTCCAGAAACATAGTAACAATTTATACTGCCAGCAGTGTATGAGAGTGCCCTTCTCTTCTTCAAGGGCTAGTGGAGAAAGGGAGGAGCACTTGCAGAAACTTAAAGGAAAATGGAGGAAGACATTGTGGCTGCCATTTCAGTGATGGGTGGTGTAAATTACCTTTGTCTGCGATGAGTGGCATACATTGAGCATTTCTAAAATGATAGAAATAACTAATAGTGTCTTGACAAGTTCGTTTTGAGGACATATACACATATATCCTTAATTCTAATTTTACTTTGCTGATTAGGTGATAAATGGCCTTTCTTTCTTCCTTTCTTGTTGATTACTTGGTGGAGTTGGACATTTCCCACTTTTACTGGCCATTAGTCTGCATTTTAAATATTTCTTATTTCTCCTTCCAGAAAACTAAGATATATTTAGAGAAATATTTGGATGCCCCCCACCCCCCAGAATGTAGTTCGTTATTTGTAGAATAATTTATCTTCAAGAAGGAGACTTACTATAATGCAAAAGGCATTTGAACTAAAAGCAACCACATTTTATAGTTCAGTGTGCCACCAATAATAGTTAGCAGTAGTAGGGACACTGACTAATAAGTTTCTTGGCTTCTGGGCCCTCATTTCTTTGTCTCTTTTGCAGCTTGTGGGATTTTTAGTTCCCCAACCAGGGATTGAACCCAGGCCCCGGCATTGAAATCACTGAGTCCTAACCACTGGACCACCAGGAATTCCCTCATTTCTTTGTCTTTAAAGAGAACAGCTTGAACCTGAATAGGAGAGGCCGAAGGTTTGAGTTCTTGTGCCAGTTCTAATCTGTTGGTAGTATCTTATCAGTATTATATTTAGGCTCTTGGTAGCTTTGATGAGTTCTCAGACTGTACGGAAAACAAGTGATGTCATTGATTATTAATGGCACGTGTGTCGCACGTTTGCCATTCCTGGTCTCTGTTAGCTCTAGCTTTCTATGATAGCAAGAAACAAAACTTTGGAATCATATTTGAATTGTTCTCTTTTAAGCTGCGCTCTTCATTTTGCTCTTGTGTCTGCTTTTTGGGACCTGCTCTCCCATCCCTTCCCCATGCCACTATTACCTTTTATACAGAGGAGGCACTGTTAAGGCAATGTGCCAGGCAATAGTCTCATTTAATCCTCACAGTAGCTCTAAGATAGTATCCATTGTCTACTAATGTATCTGTAAATATAGTATAAAACAAATATAGAGGTGGGCCAAGAAGGGAAGAAAGCTTGTTGGGTGGTGGGGTTTTTGAGTAGTTTTATATGGCCAAAAAACAATGGGGGGGTGTTGAGGAGAAGGCTAGGCCAGTGGCCACAGCTAGGCGATGAAGGGCTACTTGAATTTTATTTGGTAGATTATGTGCAACTTTTTTGAAAGATTTTACGCAGAGAAGTAAAGTGGTCAGTTTTGTGTTTTAGAAGGATTATTCTGACTGCATTGTGATAGCTTTGTCTCCTTGGCTCTAGTCTTATTCCCCTTTATTAGGCTATTAAAATATGTGTTGAAATGAGGGGTTGAAATGATGGCCTGAACCATGCTGCTAAGAGAAAGGGTATAGGAACAGGTTATAAAGTTAGTTGGGAGGCAGAATTACCAGGGATTAAAATGGGATGTTAGAGTACATCTGAAGCTCAGTGTCTGTATTGGATGAATGATGGAGCTGTTCGGAAAGGTAGAGAACAGATTTCCTACGGAGAACGATGAGTTCAGTTTTTGATGTGTTGAATTTGTGATTCCTGTAGAGATAGCCAGTAAGCCGTTGGAAATATGTGCTTGAATTCAGAGATTTGTAAGTAAAAACATCAGTGTTTAGGTAGTAGTAGGGAACGAGCCATAGCTGGGAAGGGGCTCTCCTAATTGAACATATAGATAACGATGGAAAAATTTTTCAAAGGATAGTTTTATTCTTTTTTAGGTTATAACCTTGAGTATATTGTGTCCCTGTGTGTGTTTAGCATTTCTGGTACCCAACCAAATAATTACTGAGATTTTTACACACCTGATACTTGCAGTCACACAGCTTGGAGGACTGATTCACCCACCACTGCTTTTTTGATACCTGCTAAACCTCTAGAACAGTGACTCTCAACCAGCGGTACACCTCCCACCCCACAATGGACATCTGATAATGTCTGGAGACATTTTTAGTTGTCAGAGTGGGGTGGGATGGTTACTGACATCTACTGGGTAAGGCTGGCAATGCTGCTAAACATCCCAGGGTGCTCTGGGAAACCCCTCACAACAAAATTATCAAGCCCTAAATATCAGTAGTACCAAGATTGAGAAACTGCTCTAAAATCTAGATGAGATGAAAGAGAGCTCATCGGTTTTACTAAGGTCCTAGAGATTCTTAGATTTACTAAAAGTAATTTAGCAATCCTTGAAATAGTTGAGGTTCTGCCCTAAGTCTTGTAGTTCAGTAGAAGAGGTAAGGTTCGAAAACAGATGCTTATAGCAGTGCAGAAGTTCTGTGCCTTGGAAGAGTACAACTGTAATATAGTTCAAATGAGGTGGAAATCTCAGCAGGATGACAGGTTAAGGCCTCATGAGCAGTTAGTATTTAAGCTGTGCTTTGATAAATGCTGAGTGGGCTTACTTTTAGGTTGAAGGACTTTATACTTTAGAGGAATCACTCTTTCATGTAATTTACTTGAAGGCAAGAGTTTAGAACCAGATTACTGCTAGCTAAGAAAAAATTATCTATAAGCCCCTTGAAATTTTTAATCAAAGGACCATGGGCATACTTTGATCCTTGCCAGAAGACTTAAATTTTATGCAAAAGTCCTTTATCAGTACACCTTAGATAAATGTTGGTTATTTCTCTCTCTCTCTTAACCTTGAGAAGTAAAGATGACTCCTTTGAGGGAAGTCATATGGTGTGGCTAATCTGGCACTATAATGGAATTCGTAGACATAAGCCTGATTCTGGCTTTATTGATAATTGACTGTATAACTACAGGCACATCTGTCTCTGGGCTTCAGTTTCATCATCTGCAAAATGAAGGGGAAGAGAGCCAGTGGTTCTAAGGTCCCTTCCAGATCAAACACTCTTCATAAGAAGTGACCAGACAGTTAAAATTTTGTGCCAGGGTGCAGTTAAATACCCATCTAAAGTATAAAGGCTTTAAGCTTTCTCTGTACATCATTTCCTCTTTTTGCTATGTAACTTTAGCAGTCAGACTTTGCCCGAAAAAGACCCACTTTTGTGTAGTCGTATCTCCATCTTGTGGCCTTTCAGAATATTGCCACTAAATTTTGTTTTTGTAATTATGGCCATAATTGACATTACCCTTAAAAGCTAGAAACATTTGAGTGCTTATTATCTGATGTTGCTGTACTAAATACTTTTCCCATTTTATCATACCACTTGTTTTTTAAGCCAAGGGTAAAGGTTTCCTACTACCATATTCTAAGTGCAAAGATTATTTGAGATTTGACTAACAGGCTAATCTTGTGGTGCTACTCTAAAAGTAGGAGGCAAGTAGCTGTGTTTTCCAGATCTAAGGACTTGGTTCACATTTCTGTGGATGCTTGTGCTGTATGAATCTGTCTCCCCCTCTTAGATCTTAGTCTCAAAACTTTGGTATGAAGATGCGTTAGAGTTTGTTATGGATTTGAAAAACAAGAAAAAATAACATGTCACGTGAATTTACTTGAGCTAAGAGAATAACTTAGTTACTTTAATAACTACTGTCTTCAGTTTTTTACTTAGAGTTGTGAACTCTAGTGCCAACAGGAACCCAGGACCTGGGACCAAGCAGATAAGGTAAATGAGTAAAACAAGAAATGTAGGCTTTATGTAAAATCTTCTAATTTAAGTATTAGCAACCAAGTTAATTTGGAAAAACAAAAAATTGTTGAGTCACGTAGATGTGGCCACATAGCTGATTTGACTTCTAGGCTAGGAATTTGGGGCTTATCTACAGAACAGAGGTCTTGAACTGATAAATTAAAAATAGTCTGTATTGTTAAATTATATTGAAATCTTACCTGAAGTAAGCAGTCAGTGTAGTGATTTTAAAAACCCAGCTTTCAGAGTTAGGCTGATTTGAGTTTGGGTCACAGTTCCTCAATACCAGTTATGTCACATACATTAAAGCTATAGTGTAACATATTGTACTGCTTGCATAAGGGAAATGATTAACATTTTATGGGGAAATGATTAACATTTTATGGAAACCCACTCTGATCATATAGTGTATTTTTTTGCAGTGGTCTATTCCACTTCCCTGTGCCTGTCTTTAGTCTCTATTTCCCTTACCAGACTCCTTGGATTTAGAAATTTACACACATGCAGTAGGAAGTTTCTTGATTAAAGTGGGTGTTTAATTTGTATGGTTAAAAGAACAAGCTTTATTACAGAAGTAAAGATTCCAAGGTAGGATGTGGGAATTTGAGTTTTTAACCGGCAGAATGATTCTGGTGTATAGCCAGGTTTGGAACCCAATCTTGGATTTTACGACACTGCTTCTCCAGATTTATCCCTACTCTCTTGAACATTGTTTCTCAGCCATCTTTATGGGCTCCTACTCTTTTACTTCTGAAATGAGATTACCACTTCATACCACTAGAATAACTATAAACAGAAAGGCAGTAAAAAGCATTGGTGAGGATGTGGAGAAACTGGAACCCTAAAACATAGCTAATGGGAATGTAAATGGTCTGGCCACTTAGGGAAACAGTTTAGCAACATATTAGTTTTCCCTTACTACTGTAACAAATTACTACAAATTTAATGGCTTAAACAACACAAATGTATCATCTTTGTTCTTCTTCTTTTTTTTTTTTTTTGCGGTCCACGGGCCTCTCACTGCTGTGGCCTCTCCGGTTGCGGAGCGCAGGCTCCGGACGCGCAGGCTCAGCGGCCATGGCTCACGGGCCCAGCCGCTCCGCGGCATGCGGGATCCTCCTGGACCGGGGCACGAACCCGTATCCCTTGCATCGGCAGGCGGACTCTCAACCACTGCGCCACCAGGGAAGCCCCATCTTTGTTCTTGAGACCAAAAGTCTGAAAGGGGTTTCACTCTGTTAAAATCAAGATGATGGTAGGTATAGTGACTCCTGTCTACCTGAAATTTTAGCATGTGACCTTATTTAGAAATAGGATCTTTGCAAATGTAATTAAGATGAGGTCATACTCAATTGGGGTGGGCCCTAAATGACTAATGTCCTTATAAGAAGAAGAGAGCATACATACACACAGAAGACCATGTGAAGATAGAGGCAGACATTAGAGTTATGCTGCCACAAGCCAAGAAACACCTGAGGCCACCAGAAGCTGGCAAAGGCAAGGAAAGATTCTGCTCCAGAGCCTAGAGGGCATGGCCCTGCCGACATTCTGATTTTGGACTTCCAGCCTCCAGTACTTCGAGAGAATACATTTCTGTTGTTTTAAGCCACTGAGTTTGTGGTAATTTGTTAAGGCAGCCCTGGGAAACTAATACAACAGGACTTTGTTTCTTCTAGAGGCTCAAGATGATGTAACGTCTCCTTGCCTTTTCAGCTTCTAAGGCCACTTGCATTCCTTGGTTCATGAGCCTTCATCTTCAAAGCCAGCAGCATAGCATCTTTAAGTCTCTCGTGTCTCTGCTCTTAATCACATCTTCTCTGACTCCTAAGGACCTGTGTGATTACAGGGGGCCCACCCAGATAATCCTGGTTAATTTTCCCATCTCAGGATCTTACATCTGCAAAGTCCTTTTTTCATGTAAAATAACATATTAAAGGTTCCTGAGATTAGAACATGGACAGACTCTGGGGGCCATTATTCTGCCTGCCGCAGGCAGTTTCTTTGAAAAGTAAAACATGTACCCCAGTGTTCATTGCAGCACTATTTATAATAGCCAGGACATGGAAACAACTGAAATGTCCAATGACAGATGAATGGAAAAGAAGATGTGGTACATATATACAATGGAATATTACTCAGCCATAAAAAGGAATGAAATTGGGTCATTTGTAGAGATGTGGATGGACCTAGAGTCTGTCATACAGAGTGAAGTAAGCCAGAAAAAGCAAAATATCGTATATTAACACATATATGTGGAATCTAGAAAAATGGTGCAGATGAACCTATTTGCAGGGCAGGAATAGAGACGTAGACATAGAGGACGGGCATGTGGACACGGGGCAGGGGAGAGGAGGGTAGGATGAATTGGGAGATAGGATGGACATATATACACTACCATGCATAAAATAGCTAGTGGGAACATGCTGTAAAGCATAGGACGCTCAGCTCGGTGCTCTGTGATGACCTAGATGGGTGGGGTGGGAGGGAGGTCCAAGAGGGCAGGGATATAGGTATACATATAGCTGATTTACTTCATTGTATAGTAGAAACTAACACAATATTGTAAAGCAATTATACTCCAATTAAAAAAAAAAGTGAAACATATTTGCCATACGACCCAGCAGTCCCACTTCTAGGTATCTACCAGAAAAAAACTAAAGCATATGTCTGCACACATACTTGTATGCAGTAATCATAGCAGCATTGTTTATAATAGCCAGGAAGTAAATACAGTTAAAATGCCCATCAAGTGGTAAATGGATAAACAAAATGTGGTATATTCATAAAATGGAGTACTGTTCCACTACTGACACAAATTGCAATATGGATGAACCTCAAAAACATTATGCTGTGTGAAGGAAGTCTAGTCCAAAAGATCACATTTATTGTATGAAATGTTCAGAAATAGCAAGTCTTTATAAAGAAGGTAGATTTAGTGGCTGGCTTGGAGTAGGTAAGGGGATCTATCTCAGCTGTGCACAAGGGATTTTGGGGGTGTGATGTGAGTACTCTAAAGCTGAATTGAGGTGATGATTTCACAACCCTATAAATAGTTTAAAACCATTGAATTGTACACTTAAAATAGGTGAATTTTATAGTACGTAAATTATACCTCAAGAGGGCTGTTTAAGAGAAAAATAAATGAGAGGGATGTAAGAGGATGAGGCTCGTACACCTAAATGTAATAAAACTTCTAGGAGAAAACAAAAATCTAAATGTTAGTGGCCTTGGGTTAGGCAAAGAATGTTAGATATTACCCTGAAAAGCATGATCCACAAAAGAAATTCATCAAAATGTATAACTTCTGCTGTGTGAAAAACACTGTTAAGAAAATGAAAAAAGCCACAGACTGGGAGAAATCCTCTGCAACATACATAACTCACAAAGGACATGTATTCACAGTAACTTAAATCTCAATAATTGGAACCCAGGATTTTTTTAAGAGCAAAAGATTTCAACATCACCTTTACCAACGAAGATAATATGAGTAGCAAAGAAGTACATGAAAAGATGTTCACCATTATTTAGGGATATGCAAATTAGAACTGCAGTGAAATGTCAGTACACACCTATTAGAATAGCATAAATTTTAAAAGTTGATAGTGCCAAACACTGGTTTCGATGCAGAACACCTGAAACTCTCGTACACTTAGCTAATGATCCAGTATCCCCTCTCCTACGTATTTATTCAAGGGAAAGAAAAACTTATGTTCACACAAGAACCTGTACATAAATTGTTTGTGGCAGCTTTATCATAATCTC